ATGATGGCAAGTTCAGGTGTGCACAGCAAGCCTTCTCTTCTGATCATATTAGCAGGTATGATTTTAATAATGGTATTGGACCTGATATCAATTTGGACGAAAATTTGGCTAATGAACCTCTCACTAGTCTTGGGCCTAGCATAGGGCCTGGCATTAATTTGGAAGTTTTCTTGGCCCACTCTCCTAGTGGCCATGAAATTCTACCCCAGCCCATTGACTCTGATAATTTCAACCCTCCAAGTAATGACATATTAGCCCATGTGCATTCTGTTAGTCCCCTTTCCAAGTCAAGACCTACTGGGCTATTACCCATGAACCTCACTCATTCGGCCAAAGCTAAAACCCCTATCCTTAATACAAAGTCTCTGCAGCCTGAAAAGAAAAAAGGGAAAAAGAAGGCTCATATAGAGGGCTTTACCAGCTTTGCTAGATTCCATGGCTATAGAACTGCAGCAGCTCACAAGCATTCATCTAAGTCAGTTATTTTCAGTCCAGCAGCTTCTGCTTTTGCTCAATCTGATCTATCTGATGGTAGCTCATCTTTGAACAATGATCTATTTGAGGAGGCCAAAGCCACTATACACTTGGGGAAATGCTTAGGCATCAACTACAATGGGAAAGAAGACACTGTGTTGAGCAAGATAATTGATTTAGAGCTTAAAGACAAGGATAGAATCTCTGATAAGGGGCAGGATCAGAAATAAGCTTCTGCTCAGGGGAGTCTTGAGCTAGCCATTTTGTTTATCTATGAAGCTATTATCTTGGAACATTAGGGGTTTGGGTAAATCTGAGAAGAAGGGAAGAATTAAAAGACTGCTTAAGGACAAGCATGTTGATATTGTTTTTTTCCAAGAAACCAAGCAAGCCGTGGACTCTGAAAATGTTGCTAGAAAGCTTTGGGGATGCAGAAATATGGACTTCATGTCTGTGGATCCTGTAGGCTCTGCTGGTGCACTTCTATGCATATGGGACCCTTCAGTGTTCCAATTATCTAGCTGCTGCTGCACTAGGAGGTATATATTACTTTCTGGCTCTTTGTATAATTCCTTTGATTGTGTTTTGATAAACATATATGCACCAAATAACCCCTCTGCTAGATCATCTTTTTGGGCGGGTATAGTCAAGCTTAAGGATCACTTTCCTGCACCTTGGTGCATGGGTGGAGACTTCAATGAAATTAGACATATAGGTGAGAGGGTTGGCTGCTCCAGGAGAGACATGGGGATGAAACATTTTAATGAGTTTATTGAGAAATGTGAGCTCCATGACTTACCTCTTCATGGTAGGAAATACACTTGGTGCAATGCCCAGGAAGCTGAGAAATGGAGCCGCATAGACAGAATACTCCTCAGCCCAGAATGGTTGATAAGTTTCAGAATGAAGTTATGGGGCCTGCCTCGACTAGTTTCTGATCACTGTCCTCTGCTGTTGATGGAAGATGAAAGAGACTGGGGTCCCAAGCCTTTCAAGTTTCTCAACGCCTGGACTCTCCATCTAAGTTTCTCTAAGTTCTTTGTTAACATTTGGAGCAGCACTACTGTTACAGGGTGGGCCGGATTCAGAATTGTTCAAAAATTAAAGCAGCTAAAGACAGAGTTAAAAAAATGGAATGTTGAAGTGTTTGGACATGTCACATCCAAACTCAAGGCTTTAGAGGCGGAATTGCATACATTAGACATCTTAGCAGAGGATGGACTATTAGATGATTCTGGGCGGTCAAGAAGAAGAGTGGTCAGAGGTGAAATGTGGCATTTGCTCAGAATGGTGGAGTGGATTTGGCACCAAAAATCCAGATTGAACTGGACCCTAAATGGGGATAAGAACACTAGATTCTTCCATGTTTTTGCTAATACCAGACAAAGTAGAAACATGATCAGCTCTATAGTAGTTAACGACGTGTCCTATGAGGATCCTAGCAGGGTTCAATTAGAGGTCTACCAACACTTCAAGAAGTTGTTTGCTGAGGATTGGGTCAAAAGACCCGTCTTGGGAGGGCCATTCAACACCATTGAGGCAGACTATGTTTCTCATCATCTGGTTGCAGAATTCAGTGAAGCTGAGGTGTTGGCTGCAATTAAGGATTGTAATAATAACAAAGCCCCAGGCCCCGATGGTTTCAATCTGTTGTGTTATCAGAAATTTTGGAAGACTATGAAGCCTGAGATCATGCAATTCTTTGCAGACTTCCACACAAATAGCAAACTGACTTATGGGATTAATAGCACTTTCATTAGTTTAATTCCTAAGTTGGAAAATCCCTCCGGCCTATCTGATTACAGACCCATTAGTCTTGTAAGCTCCTTGTACAAAATTTTGGCAAAAGTGTTAACACATAGACTCAAGCCAGCTCTATCCTCAATTATTGGTGAAACTCAAACTGCTTTCATCGGTGGAAGAAACATCCTTGATGGGGTGTTCATTGCCAATGAAGTAGTAGATGGTTGGAAGAAGACCAACAAGAATGGTTTGATCTTAAAGCTAGATTTTGAAAAAGCTTTTGATTCGGTTAACTGGGAATTCTTGTTCTCTCTGCTATCTAGTTTCGGGTTTGGTAACAAATGGATCTCTTGGATGAAAACTTGTGTGTCTACAGTTAGGATTTCCATTCTTGTGAATGGTGCTCCAACTAAGGAATTCTCACCACAAAGAGGGCTAAGGCAGGGCGATCCGTTATCACCTTTCTTATTCAATATTGTGGCTGAGGGGTTAAACATTCTTTTGGTCAGAGCAATTAATCTTGGCATTCTTAGAGGTGTTCATGTCGGATCCAAAGATGTCCTCTTGTCTCACCTACAATTTGCAGACGACTCAATTCTTTTTTCTGAGGCAGATTGGGATCAAATGGTACTTATCAAAAGAATCCTCAGGTGCTTTGAAATTCTATCTGGGCTTAGAATTAATTACCACAAAAGCGTGGTGTACGGTGTCGGTGTGTCTGATACTTTATTGCTCTCCTTTGCACATCTTCTTAACTGCAAAGTCCATAGCCTTCCTTTGAAATTTCTGGGTCTGCCTCTAGGTGCCAATCTTGGTAAAAAATCTACCTGGAAGCCCGTGATTGACAAGATCAGATCTAAACTCTCAGGGTGGAAGAGGAAACTGCTATCTTTTGCAGGTAGATTAACCCTAATCAAGTCTACTCTATCTAGTTTACCAGTCTACTTTCTTTCTTTGTTTAAGATGCCAGAAGGTGTGGCAAGAGAATTCGAAAAGATTGAGGCAGCTTTCTTATGGGGCAGTAATGATCTTAAAAGGAAAGTGCATTTAGTGAAATGGGGGGAGGTAACCAAAAGCTTGGACCAAGGGGGCCTGGGTATCAGAAGAATAAGAGATATGAATGCTTGTCTACTGCTCAAATGGTGGTGGAAATTTGGAACCCAAGTAAACTTTCTTTGGAGGAGAGCTATATGTAGCAAATACAATATTGATGAGGCTAGTTGGCATCCACCTTTAAAGTCCTCCTACAAACATTCTAGAGTTTGGAAGGACATATTATCTATTGGGATTCATAGCACAAATATTTACAATCTCTATATAGATAACTGTCAAATCCAAGTGGGGGATGGGAGTAGGATTAAATTTTGGCATGATAGATGGTGTGGCAGCTCTAGTCTCAAGTCTACTTTTCCCCTTCTCTTTAATCTCTCAACAGATAAAGAAGGCTCTCTACAACAATTCATGGCAAGAAAATCTAACCCAAACAATTGGAATTTTTCCACTAGGAGAGTGCTTTTCAGTTGGGAATTGGAACAAGAAGCTAACTTACTTGGTCTACTATCTTCAGCTCCATCTCTGTCAATCGGCAGGGCTGATCATCTTATCTGGGCTTCTGCATCTGCAAGTCCTGGTGTATTTTCCGTGTCCTTTCTCTACTCTGCCTCTAACTCTATCCTAGGGCCTCATTTTAACATTTGCAAGCATATTTGGAACGGGGCTGTCCCCCCTAAGGTTTCATTCTTTACTTGGCTGGCCTGGAAAAACAAAATCAAGACAGCAGTGTTTATGCACAGAATCGGCATCTTAGATGCTTCTGCTTCTCTCATCTGCCCATTTTGTCGTTCTGAACCTGAATCTGCTGTCCATATCTTGCTTCATTGCCCATTTTCTTGGTTGATTTGGTCATCTTCATTGCCCATTAGCATTGCAGGTTCAAGGCTAATGGATTGTGCTGGGTTTCTCTGGTGTTGAATGGATGCTGTGATGCTTGGGTGCTACTGTCAAATGGATGCTCGGTGAAGGAAGGGTGTGATCTGATCTGATCTACTGGTAAACCGGTGCTGCATGTCTAATTCAGTTTTGTGCTGCTGTGATGCTTGGGTGTTATTGCTTCTTTGTTTCGCTAAGTTTTTTGGTCTTCAGTCAGAGCATCTCTGTCTGGGGCTGGAGTGGACTGCCACTGTTTCGCTGCTGTTAATCACGTCTGGTGGGGTCTGCTATGTATGCTATGTCTTCGAGTAGTGTATGTTATATCTTCATATGGGGTCAGAGTATCTATTTGGTCTTCACAAGGCTACTGCTGATCTAGTTGGTTTTATCACAAGGCTGCTGTTGATCTCTTTGGTTTTTCTTATAGCAACACACTCAGCTAGTTAGTCCCTATTAGAGTTGCCTGATTGCTTATGCATTTTTTCTTTGAAAATTAAACTTGAAAATGTCACATTAAAATGAGTTAGCTGCTAACCATAGACCTTTTCTTCATTCTCTTCTAGTTAATGGAAGAATGTCTTCCTCTCTAGAGGACAGGAAATATTAGTAACAGTCTGATTTCTACGGGCCAAAAATTGAATTTTCACTTCAAAATATCAAATCTGGATTTAAATTCATTTTTGTAATGTTCGAGGGTGCAAATGTCATGTGATCCATTTTGAAAAGCTCAAATTTTGTATGGCCCCCAGTACTTCGTGTGAGATTCTTGGCTGTATTTCTTGTCAAAATACTAATGCTCTAGTTGTGCAGAAATCTAAGTGCCCGGACTAATTGATGATATCGCTTTTGTTTAGTTATTTAACTGGTAACTTGCTCAATGGATCTGTGCCTACTTATTGGATGCTGGATAGTAGACTGAAGGTGTCAATGTAAGTTTCTCTTCCAAACCATTAATAAAGGTGTCAATGTTATGTAAAATTGTCCAATGTCATTCCTCATGCAATAAATCATTAATCTACTTGATTATTAGTTCTTTCCATGTTGGTTCTTGTGTGCTTTTGTTTGCATGATGTGTGAAACACTTGGGCCGAATGCGATTTGTGCCGGGCATGCCAGGATCGAATGCAATCCAATTGGAATAAAGCATGACTTCTAATCAAGATTGATTGTGTGTGATTAAGAGAATGGACCACTTGGTTTGGGTTTTGTCTCAATGAAGAGGACTGCTATAATTTTGTAACTGTGTGAAAATAAATGGAGTTGAAATGAGTGCTGGAAAATGAAGAAAATGGAACTTGCATTAACTGGTAATGAAATACAATTGAAATTGAACATGAATTGAAATTCAAAGATGAGTACGGGAATTAAAAATAAATAAATTGGATAATTGAAATGATACGAGTTGATCTTGAGTTGTGTTGGTGCTTGACCTTTTGCTTATTGCCACTTGACGTATTTATATAGCGTTCCATCCCACTAATAGCTAAAATCTTCTTTCTTACATTCTGCTCAATTGTAGGTCGATCAAACCATTCTAATTGCACTAAGTGGACAACCCTTGTCTCCCACCAACCTAACAATGTTATGGTCCCTAGTGCAAATCAAGATTGCTCATTGGATGGTGATACCACCACATGGTATCACCATTATGTGAGTGTAAATTCTTCATTTGTCATTACGATGTCAGTTGCAAGCTACAGTACTTTCCACATGGAGAAAAAAAAACCTCATTAACAATTTGGCTTCCAATGCCCTCGAACTTGGAACTTGATTATTCATTCATGCCACCATTCGGGAGGGAGGGGGGATGGAAAAAAAGAGCGAGATGGAAGTTTTCTAGCTAGAGTTCATTCCTTGATCCTTAGACAAACAACAGTTTTCTATTTTGCCCAAAAACCTATTTCCAAATTCCAATAGCATATTATACCACAAAAACGGTAATTTATCAAAAATAAATTAAAAGTTTGGGCCACATAAATAGTTAAATGCATAGATGGGTAAAATATTCTTCTAAGTTAGGGGTGTTGTGCTAATTTGTATGTTTAAATTGAAGAAGAAAATATGTCAAAATCTTGTGTACTTTATTGAAACATCTAATGTGTAATAAGTTTAGGCCCCTAACAGATCTTCTTATTTAGAACTTAGACTTTTCATTCAAGTTTATTTCCTTAATCTTCAAAATGCAAATAAAAATTGTGAGTTGGCACCTTCCAGCATGGGGTGAAAAAATTCTACCTTCCATTTTCTGTTGCACGATTACCCAAAACAAAAGAAAAATTGGCCGTCTCAATGTTAGAAGGCATCGATGCATCATAGGATTTTCCTTGATTGGAGTTGAAGATGTAGACGTTGTGCCACAATTAGACGAACAAATTAGCTACTAGATGCATCCCTTAAGACTCTTAACAACTGAGTGGAAATAAAACTCCCATTTTTTGGATTGTCAAATAATTACGGCTTTTACCCACACACACTGGGGGGGGGGGGGGGAAAGTGTAAGAGAAAGAAAAAAAAAAAGGGCCAAGAAAACATGGTTCTTACTTTTATATTGCATTCAAGATAAGATGAATCGTAGTGTGAATTCTGTGTGCAGCGATCTATCCTATAACAACTTAAGCTCATCAGGTGATTCATTTTGCGGAAGCCGACAAAGTAAATTGTAAGAATGCTTCTGTCCTACTTAATAACTACTACCATAATCTCTCAAAAAATTTGTGTATCCAGCTCAACTTTTCACTCTCTATTTTCTACAGGAACTTGTTTGGAAGCTCTTCAGAGGACAATGCTTCGTAAATTTCTGAAACTTTCATAATATTTTTTTGTTGTTTTCATAAATGATTTGGGCAGTGTTTCAGTTTATTTCTTTCTTATCTAACCTAAATTCTAATATAATATGTTGCTGACTGGTCCATGATCTCATGTTGTTCTGTCAGTGAAATTCTTGCCTGCCGTGGTTGTCTACGAAGTAAGTAGAAATATTAATTATTTCCTTGTGTTGATAGTTTGACAGTTATCATTGCCGTGGAAAGCATTTACCTGTTTTTAAGGCTTACACACTCGGGGATTGGAAACTGAAAATATGATGTTGGGGTTTCATTGGTCTTCTTTCCAGGTGTAGCTAGTGGATAAAAAATGGCAGCTTAAAGAAGATTTTTTTTAGAAAAAAATGTTTAGCTTCTTTTAGGTTAAAATCACAAATAAGGATAAAAATGTACTTGATTGTTTATTTTTTGGGGGCTTAAGGGGAGGGTGTTATCGAGTAATTCTTTCCTAGATCTCTTTGTTTGCTATATTTCTTTTTATTTCAAAGGTAAATAATCTGGTTATGTTTTTGTCTCAGATGTCTCTTCTTTCCATATAAATTGTGGTGGAAGTGATGTAGCTGTTGATGGAAAAACATATGAAAAAGATACAGATTCAGCTGGGTCTTCATGGTTTTTCATAAGCCCAACTAATTGGGCTTTTAGCAGCACTGGTGACTTTGTGGAAGATAATCGCCCTTCAAAGACATACCATTGGACAAATACTTCGAGGCTCTCTATGAAGAATTCCGAGTTGTACATGAATGCACGGCTTTCTCCCCTATCCCTGACTTACTATGGTTTCTGTCTACTAAATGGAAACTACACAGTAAAGCTTCACTTTGCAGAGATCATGTTTACTGATGATGAAACATATTTTAGTGTTGGAAGACGAACATTTGATGTTCACATTCAGGTAACATTATACTTTCACACCCATAAAATTTGATGTAGAAAGGTTTCTCTTTCTCGTATTATATTTTTGTTGGTAACTCATGTTAAAGGAGATGATGTCCGTGTTACTGGCCATGGCCAACTATTTAGCATTCGATTTTTCATCGATTGCTATAAGAAATAATTATTATTAATTTTTTTTGGCAAGGTTAACATAATAGATCCCTGCCACAGTGAAATTTAAACAGTTGCCTTCTGCATACGGAGTTCATGTGTGATTGGATTAAATTGCTGCAGGGAAAGCGGGTGCTGGAGGATTTTAATATTGAGCATGCAGCAGGTGGGGTTGGTAAGGAAACCATACAAAATTTTACAGCAGAAGTGACGGAAAGCACATTAGATATACGGTTCTATTGGGCAGGAAGAGGGACAACTGCTATCCCTTTTAAGGGAGTATATGGTCCTCTCATTTCAGCCATTTCTGTGAATCGTAGTATGTTGTACAACTTCTACTACCTTGTTTTTTCTTGTGTTAATGATTTGGGATTGACCTCATCTGGCCACTACGATCTTAACAAATTTCACATTATTTCTTACATCATGCATCGATTGTAGTAAACCATAGAAAATGGAATTACATATTTATTATAATGAGTCTTTCTTTTCACTAAATGTTTAGTAAAGAAATGACCTCATTTTAAAGTATCAACCATAGTTACTAGGAAATCTCTTTGATGGAGGAACTTGTTCTATGAAAACTTGATTTTGGAAAGGAGACAAACCCGAACTTGTCATAAGCTCTTGGGAAATGTTGGAAAAACTTCCTGGAAACACTTTTATCATAACTTTTTTTATTTTTCATGCATGCAAAGCTTATTTTTAACAACAATATTGTTCTTGCAAGTTTCTTCATATATTGTTTAACATTAGTATTTTAATCGAGTATGAAAGTAGTCAAAGGCTTTATATTGTTATTTCAAGGCTCCTAAAATATTTGCTTTTACATATTCTACTCGATCCTATATGACCTATCATTTCTAGTTTCCTATAATATTTTTTTGACCATTTTTCACAATTCTGTTTCCCGTATCTATTTCCCATAATTACAATTATGATTTCAACTATCAGCATTAGGTGATTACTCCTTTACCTTTATAAGTCTGATGATTTACAACATTGGATGTATTCATATCAGTGCTGTTTCTGGAGAGCCTTCTAAAATAGTTAGGCAAACCATAATACGAATAAATGGATTTTGATGATATTGAACTGTGAAAGGTTGAAAAAGAGGACACTGCAATTGTTTTTATCACTTCTTTATGTTTGTTTTGATTACATTGCCAATGGAACAAATTTTCTTACAGGCTGCAAGATATCATTCTTCTATAAATAGAAATTGACATTTCAATTATTTTATTCAGGTCAAAATGTGGTCATTTTTTGTCGGCCTTCTCATCTTTGTTGGGGTTATTGTTGGATAGTTCCACATTCCAACTAAGCAAAATGATTTTACATTTATGTTTATTTACAATTGTTGGTTAATAAAAGTGATTCAAATTGTGGGAGTCCTTCTGAGTATTGACTTTTGAACAAGAGTAACCATGTGACTACATGGTAATGGAATTATTTTAGTTGTATCTTAGCCTTTATTGCAACGTCAAGCAAACTGGGAAACCAAAAAATGTAAGCATGAGGTTTTTCTGTACATTTAAAAATGTGAAGTTTAAAGAGAGAAAATGGATAATAAATTATTGTCCTTTTTCAATGTTGACTGTTTTTTGTTCACTTGGATCCCATTCATTAATCACCTTAACCATTTCATCTCGTTGGTGTATCTGTTTTCGGTTCATGTAGATTTTGATCCATCAGAGAATAGGAGTAATGCATCTGTATCAAGAAAGGGAAATACTATATCTACAGGCAGTATAGTTGGAATTGTGGCTGGAGTAGTATTTGCTATCTTCCTAATGCTGGGTATTCTTTGGTGGAAAGGATGTCTACAACACAATAATACGATGGAACATGGTAATTTTAAATCAACTATGGATAATTATGATAGTAATGATTATCATACTCACCATCAATGGTGTTCGTTTTTTTTTTTTTTTTGGTTGGGGGGGGGGGGGGGGGGGGGGGATAAAAAATTCAATGTCTATTATGTTATTTACCCCAGAAAGCACATTATGTAGTTCAATAATTTTTATTGTCCAGACCTTTTTTTAGAATCCAAATGAGTGTTTGGTTCACTGAAATAAAGGTTGGAATGGAATTGTCATTTGATTAGAACATTCATTCCCTTGTTTGGTTCAGTAAAAAGGAAAGAAATGTACATTCCAAATTGACTCACCATTCACCAATTTAGGAGAATGGTCATTTCATTGGGAGGTCGATGAATAGCCATTCCATTCCTGCCCAAAATCATCAAGTATACCAAACACTACCTTAGGAATTTGGATTAATACAAAATTAGTTTGGTTTGCTCATTGTGGAAGTGCTTTATTTAGACAAAATTACGATGCCTAGGTCAAGTGGGACTTCTTGAGTCTCTTGACTTTATTGAATGCGCTTACTTATCTAGTTGAGCTTTTTCGACAGATCTAAAGGGTCTACACCTACATACTGGTTCATTTACCTTAAGGCAAATTAAAGCTGCCACAAAGAATTTTGATGTTGCTAATAAGGTTGGAGAGGGTGGTTTTGGTTCGGTGTACAAGGTATCTTGTGGTAGATTTACTTATTCCCTTGTGTTAATTGTAATTCAACTATTCGTAATTGACATTATTTTGAAATGAAGGGCCTTTTATTGGATGGCACTGTGATTGCTGTGAAGCAGCTTTCTTCCAAATCAAAGCAAGGAAATCGTGAGTTTGTGAATGAGATAGGCATGATTTCTGCCTTACAACACCCTAATTTGGTAAAGCTCTATGGATGTTGCATTGAAGAAGATCAACTGTTGCTAGTATATGAGTACATGGAAAACAACAGCCTTGCTCGTGCTTTGTTTGGTAAATTTCAACCTCATGCTTCACTCTATTGCATGCTTTTGGTATCAGAAAATAAACACATATTTTAGCATATTAAGATTTTTGAGTTTTAATCATTTGGTGATCTGAAGGACCTGAAGAACACCGGTTAACACTAGACTGGCCAACTAGGAACAGGATCTGTATTGGTATTGCAAAAGGTTTGGCTTATCTACATGAAGAATCAAGACTGAAGATTGTCCACAGAGACATCAAGGCCACTAATGTGTTGCTTGATAAAAATCTTAATCCTAAGATATCCGACTTTGGTCTTGCAAAGCTTGATGAAGAAGAGAATACCCACATAAGCACTCGGATTGTGGGAACTTAGTAAGCTGTCATTCTTATTTTTGTTAATGAATTATTTATATTATATTTTTGGTTGATAATGTTCTTGTTATTATCATTATTATGATTATTGTTGTTGCAACCAATGAATTCACTGCCCAAAGTTCCCAAAAAAAATAAAAAATAAAATTAGCATCATAATTGGTTTTCCCCAGAAATCCTTAAAGGCGATGACCTAATTTTAGACATGCTCTTGTGGAAATAAAGCAGTGCATATTATTGACTACATTGATAGAGGTATATACATGATAGCATGTCACAAAAACAATAGTGATGTTTTATTTTGTATCTTGCAGCGGGTATATGGCACCTGAATACGCAATGTGGGGTCACTTAACTGACAAGGCGGATGTTTATAGTTTCGGAGTTGTGGCCTTAGAAATTGTCAGTGGGAGGAGTGCCACTAGTAGTTACAGGAGAAAGGAGGATTCCTTTAATCTTCTTGCATTGGTAACTTATAAATCTTGCTTTCTTATGTATATTGTTTCTTGTTTTAATTATTTGCATTGGTAGAAGTGTATCAAGGAAATTTTTCTTTGAAAAGCTTGTGTTTGCATATAAAAAGGAGGTCAATCCTTTATCAATAAGAAGTATAATAATTCTTAAAGATGGGAAAAATCGACTTATTTGGTTAATTAATTCTTATTTGGATGTCCTTTGTATTTGAGTGGTCCTGTTCATAATTATAGAACATTTTAATATAGTAATTAGCTTTAATAAATAATTCCTTTAGTATAAAATGTGAGACTTCCTCATATTTCTTCATGTGTGGAAATTTTTAGGTTTTCTTGAAATAATAAAATAGAATGTGTTTTAGATATTGAATTTCTATATCAAAAGCTTGCAACTTTTCATTTTTCATTAAAACAAAACTGTCCTCTGTGTTTGTAGGCACTGGACTTAAAGGAAAAAGGGAATTTGATGGAGCTAGTGGATCCGAGGTTGGAATCAGATTTCAACAAAGAACAAGTGATGGTGATGCTTAATGTAGCTCTGCTATGCACTAATGCCACAGCAGCAATCAGGCCTACAATGTCTTCAGTGGTAAGCATGCTTGAAGGCAAAGTTGAGGTTCAAAGTTTTTCAATTGATGGTATAGAGCCCGAGAAGACAGATAACCGGTTCCAATACAGCCCTGAAATGAGCACGAGTGACAGCCATAGCCACGGTATCTCAACTGACGGGCCATGGACTGACACCACATCCGCCTCTGATCTTTACCCACTCAAATTGAGTTCTCAGTGGCAAAAGAGAGATTGAAGTGTTTGTTACACATCCTCTCAATTGTTTTTGCATATGTATAGACATTGCTGTTGTATGTCCATTTGGTTATGTTTTTTTGACTACTATTTTTTTTTTCTCATTACTTTCTTAGTGCATGAATCCATATGAATGCATGTCAGGCTCTGTAATGCAAGAGTCGGTTATTTTAGAGTCTTTGTTTTTGGTCCGATGATCTATTTATTAGTAAGTATATGTCATGTAGCTTTTTCTTTTTTTTGGTTGGTGTTGTTGTTGTTGTTGTGTCGTAGGCTGTTTGTTTTTGTTTTAGTTGAGGCTTATTTGAAGATGGTCTTGTGTTTGTGATGAATCTTGATCTGTATGGTTATATTATCAAAAACTATTGTATCATCTTTATGGTTATTGAAGTTCTTTTCTTAGCAAATGGCAATAATAATAATAATGAAATGCATGTAATTTACAAAAAATAAAAATTTAAACAATCTACAATATGTGTTGAAAAATACAAAAGCTGCTTGTTTTTCGATAAATATATTTTTAATAATAAATTTTTCATTTTTTAAGAGACAAACATAATAAAATGAAAAAAATATTATGATTATTGGACTGATTTAAGTTTTTTTATGAATGATATATATGGATAGTCTTATAAAATGAACAATTCAGATTATCAAAATATGACTCGTGGTTGGTCTTGTAGGCTGCTCAACTTCTCTCAAATTCATATTTGAACTTGAGAGAAATTTAACCTTAAGGCAATATATGACTTTATTTGGTTTTGATTGATTTTTTGAAAATTGAGTATTTTATTTTGTATTTTTAGTTTTTTTTTTAATATTTTAAGTAATTTTGTTTACGTTCTAAATGCACCTAACTTAGATATACTTAAAAAGTAAAATATTTGTGAAAAATATTTTAAAAAACCAATAAATGCACAAGAATATGAAAATATATTATTTTTGCATTCTTTTTATATTTTTGGTATTTAGTGAATTTTTAAAGTTCCTTTTTCATAAATACTTTTTAATTGTATTTATATTATGTGTATCTAAAAACTTTTTTTTAAATATTAAAAAAATTCATGACAACAAAATAAAAATACAAAAAATAAAAAGTTTAATTTTCAAAAATGAAGAATAAACCAATGGTGAAATATGTTTAGAAATGATTTTTTTTAATTTTTTTATGAAAAGATATATAAAAAGTAGAATGAATAAGACGGAATTTCTGAATCTTGTATATGAGGTTGTGTTACATGTATCAATTAATGTACATACTAATCTACCAACTAGTGTTATACTATCATTACTGATCCCACTTATTATACAAAATACAAATATCTAAAACCTCTAAAATTATATATATCATCTATTAGTATATTAGTTAGTACATTAATTAATATATATAGCATTATTCTTTTATATGAGTTGAATTTTTTTAACTTTTTAATTAAAATGTAAATAAACGAGGCCCAAAGGTGCGGCGTGATCCATTTTTCAGTGCCATCGCATTCATCACCAGGTGTCGTGCGAAGCATGCTAACCATCCCTTCTTTTCCAGCAAAAGGGAATTATTTTTTTCTTTTTAAAAGTTTTATTATGAACACATAAATAATTGGAAATATATATATATATATATATATAATTGGTTGTACTTATCAATCTTTTAAAATTTTATTCATTTGAAAAACATTGTATTTTTCATGTGATAATTTTTATCATTAGATACAAAAGAAATGAATTACACATATTTATTAATGATAAATTACATTAACCTCTTATGAGGTTTAGAAAAAATATGGCGACGTGATTAGTGTAAAGATAGAGATAACAGAGATAAAAATGTATATTTAAATGGAAAAAGAATACCAATATATTATTATTTGTTTTAATTTATTTGACTAATGAATTATTAATGAAAATTGAGCTATAAATGTTATGTGAATTAAAGTCTAATAGGAGGCTAATATAATTATGTCAAAATTTTGAAATTTATTGCATTTTTTTATGCATTAAGGGAGTTCAGTGTAATTTACCCATTTATTAAGGTTGACCTCACTATGTTAAAAGAATTTGGTGAAAAGTCTGTTTATATATAGTATATTCATTTATTAGCATAATATTCATGTCATGTATGAACGCTACATGTATTTTTCAGTTTTTAAAAATAAAATTTTGATTAATATCTTTAAATAAATATTTTTAAAATTTTAAATTATATAAGATTACAATTATAGTAGGATTTGTTTTTTTTTAAAAAAATAAATTTCAAATTAGATATAGATTAAATATATGTTAAATGTGGCTAGATTTTTTTTTTCTTTCTATATAAAGGATTTTAAAATTTGAAATTATAAATACAATTAAATGAGCCAACTCATATTATTACAGATTCTTTATCACATTTATAATCAATGAAAAATTTAAAATTTATGATATTGATTGTAAACGTATTTAATGAAATAATAATAAAAATATCAAAAAAATAGAAAGAATCAATAGTATAATTACAAATTTATTTTTTATAATTAAAAATTCAAAAAAATTTAAAAACTAAATTAGAACTCTAAGCTTTCATAGGGCAATAATGTTTTTGCTTATATAATAGTATAAATAGTATAGATAATATAATAGTAGAGATATGTATTGTGTTTAGTTTTACAAAATAATACATAGATTTTTGGAGATTTTTTTTTAAGGTTTCTAGTATTAAGATTTTATAGTATAAAGAACACTCAATATTTTCATAATGTCTAAGGTCCCTCAACATCAATCCAGAGAAAATTCGATCTAGAGAATTTCTCTAGACAAATCACAGAGAAAATTCCAAATTTCTCTAGACACATCACAGAGAAAATTCCAAATTTCTTTAGACACATCGCAGAGAAAATTTTATACATCACCGACATCAAATTTCTCTGGACACATTACAGAGAAAATTTTGCACATCACTTACACCAAATTTCTCTGGACACATCACAGAGAAATTTTACAAATCTCCAACTCCAAATTTCTCTATATTTAAATCAGAGAAAATTGAAATTTCTCTGAGTTCAAACTAGAGAAATTTTTTTACTTTTCTTTTTCTTATTTCAACTTTTGTTTATTAACAATACTATTGTTGTTGACCATTACTCCATATCCAGTTTATGCAACCATTTATGTATAAACTAATATTTCTACAAAGCCCATTACAATGACATTAGAATTAAATATTCAAAAAATACAAGGACCAACCAATATTCCAATCTTTAGTGAGCATTTTGTGTTGTATGATTTTCTTACTTGGCTAGATCTGGATAAACTTGGTTGCCTTGATCTCGCACGTCTCTAAACATCGAAAGAATTGAGTTGAACCCTTCAAATGAAGCCTCGCCCAAGATCCACAGTAGCAAGTTACTAAACGAATTCATGGTCCCAGCTTTGTTCACAAATTTTTCTGGCTTTGTTCACATAGAATTGAAATTTCTCTGACTCTATTCACAGAGAATTCCTCTGACTTTGTTCACAAATTTCTCTGTATTTGTTCATAATTTTAAACCAAAGAAATTTTAGCACAATGATTTTAAGCTAGAGAAATTGTTTTAACCAAACCAGAGAAATTTTAATCAAACTGGAGAAATTGTGTTTGTTTACAATTTTAAACCAAGAAAATTGAGTACAACAAAAAACCAAATACCTTCTTCATTGAATAACAAAAATTCTCTCATTAGCATTTCATCAAACACCTTCTTTGCTGAATCCATGTCCCCAGCTTCCGAATACATCTTTTTATGTGGATTTCTTCATTAAATGTTGTATGAAGATTTTAAGATTTAGTTTATTGAGATTAACAATAAAGACAATGAAGAAGAAACAATGTGTTGGAAAGTATCTATCTCTTTCTGGAAACCCAGTTTTTGTTTTTACAACTGTTTGATTGCTGAGAAAGTATGAGAAAATGATTGCAAGTCTTTTGAATTTTGATGCTAGGGATTCGTTAATTTCAAATTCAAGTATGCAGAAATCTTTAACTCAATCTCGAGTGTTATGGGAAAAAAAAAGGTGTTTCTCCTCCTAATTTGCCTTTGTTTAGTTTTGTAGCTACATGTGTTATATACACACACTTATAATAACATAACCAAATAAATGGAACCGTGTAAGAAATAAATGTGAATTTGTGTGTTGACAGTATATATTGGAAGCTTTTGTGATTTGCTTCCAAAATATTCTATGGACAAGGAAACTATAGATGCTTAAAGTGGCTCGATATTTGCATAAAGAAAATGTTGTTAGATTAAAGTTATTTGTGATTTGCTTTCAAAATATTCTATCTAGGTTTTGGAAACCATATTAAATGATGATATCCTGTCTTGCCAACAATCTTTACAATATCAGCAAACTAGTAAAAATACAAACAAATTTAGGACAAAATTGGTTAAGATAATTGGTTTTTATGAAATGAAACATTTTATAGACTTAAGCAAGCTTAGGAACAGATAAGATTCTCCTAGTTAATTGATTAGAATTTTTTGTGCGAAAAAATACATTAAGCCCCTCACCACACCACCTGACAAAATTGACTAGGAATCGCCTCTGGGATTTGTTGATGTCACCATCGGCTGAGCCTTTGCAAAAGAGTTTCCAAAGCTATTATATGTATGCATTGCATCTGAGCATGTGGATTCAGCAAGATTAGATGTTTCTTTGTTTGTTTACTATGATTATTCAGATTTATAACTGTTGAGAAAATTGTAGGATTATAAATTTAGCTAACAAATTAACTTTTTAACTGTTCAATCTTTAATAAGGGTTTGTTTGGGATGTAGGTTGATTTTTTGGCTATTTTAGCCTGGGACTAAAAAGTATATTTTGGGATAAGCTTTTGTTTTTTTTGACTTTTATGAGAGAAAAAATGAAATGATTATGGTTTAAATGTGACATTTTGTCTTATTAGGTTAAAAAATTTATTTTGTCTTTTTGTAACTATTTTATCCAAAAAACTCAATTTTAACTTATGCCAAACAAAAACTAAATAACTCTGAACCCGCAATTTGATTCATAACCAATGCTAATGCGGATCGTAACTAAACATCACTATAAGTTTATAATAAAATAACAGTCACTACATCATAACAAAATATTACTATAAATCATAACCAAATGTATCACCAAGTTTGCAACTCATTTTTCTTTGACATATAAGTTGCCCCACAACTTCTTCAACTGATGATAACGTAACATAATAAAACATTACTAAAAGTATAATTAATGGCCACTAAAAATATGTTAGACACCTATGTCATATGAAGTCAGATGCGGGAGTGTATTTTAGCAGTTGGTCTCATTAAATATTAAAATTAAGACAGAT